TGTAATCGGTCATAGGCTGGAAAAAAAAAAAAAGCCACACCTCTTATCTTAATTCATAAATATCCATGATTCTTTTTCTATGACTCTTTAATGCCAGTGCAAAGGCAGACAGTCTCAGGCACTGGCTTAATTCTCATTTAGCCAAAAATATAAGTCATCAAAATGAATTATCCACTACTGGATACATGATGGTAAATGAGATCGTTCTCACTCTTCTAGGATGTTGTTACTTAATTTTCCCAAATTATTTCTTCTTATCCCCCACAATGAGAAAAAAAAAATTAAACTGGTTAAGGTAAAAAAAGAAAAAAAAAAGTCTATAACTAGAATTTGAATCCCCACAATCTGGAAAATCCAGCGCACAATTTAACTGCTTCCTCAATTTAAAACAAAATTCTATAAAATATAATGTTGTCTACATTGTAGAGATGATTTCTTCTTATCTGAGGAAACGAGTAATTAGGAAGCAGGTATTTTTGAGTTAAAATACAGTGGTCTTTAAACGTTTTCAAATTTTGCTTATCAAAAGGTAGTCAACCACAATACAAGCCTTTCAAATCCAAATACTGTCTTCACATCAACCTTCTTGCATTTGTTCTTGATCTTTTTAGGGAGAGGGTGAAGTCCACATCTGGAGAAGAAAGAAGTTAGAGTTGTTAAGGAGCATGTATCTAAAAGCTTAACAAAGCATTAGGTGATTTTAAGGTAGACTTAAAGCTTTAAACTACACTACCCATTGAAGTGGGAATTTCGACATGAAATACTGACACTATGAGTTTCTTTCTTTCTTTCTTTTGAGACAAAGTTTTGCTCTTATGGCCCAGGTTGGAGTACAATGGCACAAGCTCGGCTTACTGCAACTTCCACTTCTCCTGCCTCAGCCTCCTGAGTAGTTGGGATCACAGGCTTACAAGTATGCGCCACCATGCCAGCTAATTTTGTATTTTTAGTAGAGACAGGCTGATCTCTACTATTTTAGTTGGGCAGACTGGTCTTGAACTCCTGGCCTCAGGTGATCCACCCACCTCGGCCTCCCAAAGTGCTGGGATAACGGGTGTGAGCCACCACACCCAGATAAGTTTCTAATTTATCATTAAAACATCACACACTTGGATCACACTTAGAAAAGGTAACTGACATGGAGGTGACATGAGAGAGATGAATTTCCAGCAGCAGAGCTGGAAAGGATGTGCAGGTGACCCAGTCAGAGGCCACGTGGTCTAGCAGCCATGCCACACAGCCAGTCAGAGGATGACTGAAATGAGAGCTCAGCTTCCTGACTCCCAGCCATCTAGTGCTGTGTCCCAGTGCTTCCCGATCCCTACACATCATCCCCCAGCACAGCCTGGGTTAACCAACTCTAATCAAAATTGCAGGAACTGTGATACCTGCAATCCATCACTAGTATCAGCCATTTCTCTGGAATAAGTGCCAGCCTTGCCTCGTGCAAAATTAATTCTGTATTTGATTTGAACGTTTAATAAACTCTAAACTAAAACCATCTTGGAAAAAGAAGTACAGGGAGAGGAAAAGGGATTCTGGTTTGTAAAACTCAATTATGATACACTTTGCTGAAACACTCCCAAGTTGCCTGCCTGCTTAAAAATACTGCCAATTATATAAACAATTAACCAATAGAGCACTTGCATTTAAATACCTATTTCTGTGCTGAAGTTTTGGAAGGTTTGCTCATCTGAAACTTTTCTGCTGTTGCATCAGCCCCACATTTTCATAGACTCTAGCATTGTCTTCTCTCATTCTGGAGAGAAAAGAAAAAGAGACATTTACAAAAACGTAGATCATGCTGCTTAAGCTTACATGATATTTATAAAACACATACTACATTCTTTGGACACCAGATATGGTACAGACACAGTTCCTGTGCCTAGGATCTGACATCCCCCAGGGACAGAAGACATAGCCATACAGCAATATAATTACAGAGGTAGAAGTGAAATAAGGCCAGGCATGGTTCTCGCCTGTAATCTCAGCACTTTGGGAGGCCAAGGTGGGTGGATCACGAGGTCAAGAGTTCGAGACCAGCCTGGCCAATATGGTGAAACCCCATCTCTACTGAAAAAAAAAAAAAATAGCCAGGCACGTGCCTATAGTCCCAGTTGCTTGGGAGGCTGAGGCAGAAGAATCACTTGAACCTGGGAGGCGGAGGTTGCAGTGAGCCAAGATTGTGCCACTGCACTCCAGCCTGTGTGACAGAGCAAGACTCTGTCTCAAAAAGAGAAAAAAAAAAAAAGAAGAAGAAGAAGTGAAATAAAAGCCTCGAGTCCTGGTGCTCCCTGGGGTTTGGCAGAAAGCAGGTTGCTTTAAGGAGTCCTGTAGGATAAGGCATTTGGATCACGCTGTGGAGAACGGCTGAAAATGCACACATAGAAAGAAATCCTATTAATTTCCAGTACAGAGATCTGAACAGGCAAAAGCTCCAAAAAGGGGAAATACAGGAGCAGGCAGGCAGTGATGAGAGATGTATTCAGCACCAGCTCAGGTTATGTGAAGGGCAGTGGGTGGTTTAGGGCCTAGGATGGAGGGTCAAAGTATCAAAATCCCAGACTCCTTTCTGCTGAGCAGAGAGGGGACATGGGAGCAGTCTAGGAGAGTGAGAAACCCAGCAGCTCTGGGTGCCAGCCTGCAAGGGGCTCCAGGGCCAGGATATCCCGGATCTGAACCTCACTACAAGGGGGATGATGAGAATGAAAGGCAGACAGGTTGTCTGTCACAGGCATGGCACTGGTACTGAGGGAATCATGACAGCTGACTTGGTCACGCCAACACGAGGAAAAGTTTTCTGGCAAGGATTCAGAACCCTGGCGTTCCAGTTCCACTGCAAGTTATTGCAGAGAGCAATTTAAAATATCAACTTTCCCAGGCAGTCCACTAGGAAAGAAAAGCAAAAAGTAGGCAGAAGAGAACTGGCAACTTGGAGAAAATACCCCGCTGTATAATTTCATTTCAATGTTAAATAGAAAGCAAATGGTAATACAATCCTCATATATGCCACCTAAAACATTTATACAGAATATTAAAGTCTGCAGGGGTTTAAAAATCCACATCAGATGCAAATAGAGAGAAGATTCTTAGGGGAAACTAAAAGGTAAATGTTATACTAGCAAGTGACTTTCAAATATATAGAAAAATAATAACTTACAATTGCTATTCATATAATCAATTTAACAAATGTTTTCCTATTGCGTTTTAAACAAGGAGTCAGGAAGGTCTTTCTGGGAAGAAACTGGGAGTCAGTATTTCAGGTTCTATGTGCCATACATGGGCTCTGTCGTTTATTATTCTTTGAGGTTTTGTTATTGAGTCTTTGTTTTGTGTTGTTTTGTTTTACAACCCTTTAAAACCACTCACAGGCTCTATAGGAACAGGTCACGGCCCAGATCCGGCCTTGCAAGCTGTAGTTTGCTGACTCCTGGTTTAAACACCCAAAGTAGATTTCTGTTGACTGGTGGCAAATTAGTATATCTTGGCTGGGTTGACACATTAGTGGTCAATTTATTTACTTTTATTTTGCAAAGAGCCTTAACATATCATTAAGACATATGACCTTCCTTTGTAACAGTCCCCAGCCCATCAAAAGAAAAATTAGATTCTTCCTGGAGATATACTTATAATCCCATATAATCCTAGCTAGCATAGCAATCAGCCTTCAGTTTAGAAATTTTTCTTTTTAAACAGAGTCTCACTCTATTGCCCAGGCTGGAGTGCAGTACAGTGATGCAATCCCTGCTCACTGCAACATCTGTTTCCTGGGTTTAAGCGATCCTCCTGCCGTAGCCTCTCGAGTAGATGGGATTACAGGAGTGCACCACCACGCCCAGCTAATTTTTATATTTTCAGTAAAGACTGGGTTTTACCATGTTGGCAAGGCTGGTCTCAAACTCCTGACCTCAGGTGATTCACCCGCCTTGGCCTCCCAAAGCACTGGGATTACAGGAGTGAGACAACGTGCCTGGCCAGTTTAAGAAAATTAAAATGTGGTTGAGATAGCGTTAACACAATCCACAGATATCACCAGTCACAGACACACCAATAGTGGGGCCACAGGAACGTGCACCAGTGAAAGGCATGTACTACAAACTTGTAAGTTTTTTTGTTGTTTTTTGTTTTTTAAGCCTTTTTAAAAAGACCAGGTAAAAAGAATTTCCTTCAGCACTACTTACTCTGCACAGGGTGGCGTTGGAGTACAAGGCGGGAGGGGGCTCTGATCTCCACTTGTCTGGTCCGCTAGAGAATACTTAATATTTGTATATTCGTGCCCTTTCCTCTTGCTTTTCTGAAAATTGGAAGAGCGCACATGTGAGGGACAATGACTATTTTAAGGGGATAAAAAAGCAAAAAGGTATTTTGCCCAAAAAAAGAAAAAAGGGAGAGAAGGAAAGAAAAATTGACAGATGGGTTGAGAATACTGATACATTGACTAAATTGTTAGGGAATTCACCTTCTCAAGGTAAATACACAGTAGGAGTGAAAAGTACTTTTGAACCACAGAATTCAAAAGCACAGAGGCACGCGTTAACAACTTACTGTACTGAACCAAATGTCCCTGTTTCTGAGCTAAGAAAGAATTCACACTTTCTTTGCCACATTAGCATCTAATCATTTCATAGTTCATGTACAACACATTTCACAATTTTTCAGGTAAACAGCTGGGAAAGGAACTCTGAAAATAAATTCTCCCCAACTAGAAATGGCACACAAGAATGAAACATGGTTCAGCCGGGCGCAGTGGCTCATGCCTGTAACCCCAGCACTTTGGGAGGCCGAGGCGGGCGGATCACAAGGTCAAGAGATCGAGACCATCCTGGCCAACATGGTGAAACCCCGTCTCCACTAAAAATATGAAAATTAGCTGGGCATGGTGGCATGCACCTATAGCCCCAGCTACTCGGGAGGCAGAGGTTGCAGTGAGCCGAGACTGTGCCACTGCACTCCAGCCTGGGCGACAGACTGAGACTCCGTCTCAAAAATAAAAATAAATAAAAGAATGAAAGATGGTGGCACTCTTATCAGAAATAATAACACACTTCATTGTATTTCCCCTCATCCCTGGAAAAGACCCTGGCACTGTTTTATTTTTTGGAGACAGAGTCTTGCTCTGTTTTTCAGGCTAGTGTGCAGTGGAATGATCTTGGCTCACTGCAACATCTGCCTCCCAGGTTCAAGCAATTCTCATGCCTCAATCACCCAAGTAGCTGGGATTATAGGTGCCCACCACCACACCCAGCTAACTTTTCGTATTTTACTAGGGATAGGGTTTCACCATGTTAGCCAAGCTGGTCTCGAACTCCTGAGCTCAGATGATCCAGCCACCTCAGCCTCACACAGAGCTAGAATTACAGGCATGAGCCACCACACCTGATCCACCTTTAAAATTTTATTTTTCGTTCTGACGATACCCTCAGGGGAAAAAGGCAAAGAAAACCAGCAGGAATACAGTCTCATCTCAAATGTAGAGTGAACTATACTTAGTAGGACATCTAGTTAGATGGTTTATCGCCCTTTTCTGCTCCTATAGGCACCTGGAAACAGCCAACTCTGAAAATCTAATCTATCAGATGAGCACCATTATTTAATGCTGACTTCACTATAAGATTGCCCTTAGGGTAGCCATATCAAATACTAACATACAACCCCGGCCTGGTGGTGCAGGCCTGTAATCCCAGCTACTCGAGAGGCTGATGCAGGAGGATTGCTTGAGCCCAGGATTTCAAGGCTGCAGTGAGCTATATACCACTGCACTCCAGCCTGGGCAAAAGAACGAGACCCATCTCTAAAAATAAAAAACAGGGCCAAGCACGGTGCCTCATGCCTGTAATCCCAGCATTTTGAGAGGCCAAAGCAGGTGGATCACTTGAGGTCAGGAGTTCGAGACCAGCCTGGTGGCAGGTCTGGCAAAACCAACATGGCAAAACCCTGTCTCTACTAAAAATACAAAAATTAGCTGGGCTGAATGCCAAGTGAATAAACCAAAGAAAAATAAAAAAAGAAAAAGAAAAGGAAAAATTAGGTGGGCGTGGTGACACAGGCCTATAATTCCAGCTACTCAGGAGGCGGAGGCATGAGAATCACTTGAACTTGGGAGGCAGAGGCTGCAGTGAGCCAAGATCGGACCACTGCACTCCAGCCTGGGTGACAGAATGAGACTGTCTCAAAAAATAAAAATAAAAAATAATTTTTTGACTATTTGCTCTGTGAAAGCAGCCAAACCAATCTATTAACGGATAAAGCAGTCAGTAAGAACTTGTAGTGTAGGCAAGAAGCTGCAAAACAGAAATCCAAATCAAAAATGTTTTGTTTAGTTTATATACTATTTTAATTTTTTGAACAGCCATTTTCTTAAAACAAAAGGTCTTATAAATAACCACCTCTGAATAACAGTCCTAAATTTTTAGCACTGAAAAAGTTTTGCTTGAAACTCAAGAGAATACAATAATAATAATTTTTTGCTTATTTAAGAATCAATCCTTAGAAAGATTCAATTCAAAATTAAATATTAAATGAAAGAACTGGCAAGAACTTTTGTTTGGTTTTGTTTTTGTTTTTGAGATGGAGTCTCGCTCTGTTACTCACACTGGAGTGCAGTGGTGTGATCTCAGCTCACTGCAGCCTCCAACTCCCAGGTTCAAGCAATTCTTTGCCTCAGCCTCCTAAGTAGCTGGGATTACAGGTGTGTACCATGACGCCCAGCTAATTTTTGTATTTTTAGTGGAGGCGGGGTTTCATCATGTTGGCCAGGCTGGTCTCAAACTCCTGGCCTCAAGTGACCTGCCCACCTTGGCCTCACAAAGTGCTGGGATTACAAGCATGGGCCACTACACCCAGCCCTATTGTTTTTCTGGGTTTTTTTTGAGCTGGAGTCTTGCTCTGTCGGGCAGGCTGGAGTATAGTGGCGCGATCTCAGCTCACTGCAACCTCCACCTCTTGGGTTCAAGTTATTTTCCTACCTCAGCCTCCCCAGTAGCTGGGACTACAGGCAAGTACCAACACGCCCAGCTAATTTTTGTATTTTTAGTAGAGACGGGGTTTTACCATGCTGGCCAGGATAGTCTCGATCTCTTGACCTTGTGATCCACTCCATCTTGGCCTCTCAAAGTGCTAGGATTACAGGCATGAGCCACCACACCCAGTCTTTTTTGTTTTTTCTTTTTTTTTAAGAGATAGGGTCTCACTCTGTCACCCAGGCTAGATCACAGTGGTGCAATCATAGCTCACTGCAGCCTCAAATTCCTGGGCTAAAGCAATCCTCCCCACTCAGCCCCCCGAGTAGCTGTTATTACAGGAACACGCCACACTCAGCAAATTTTTTTTTTTTTTTTTTTTTTTTTTTTTTTTTTAAGAGAGAGGAGGTCTCACTATGTTGCTTAGGCTGGGCTCCAACTCTTGGCCTTGAGTGATCCTTCTGCCTCAGCCTCCCAAAGTAATGGGTTTACAGGCATGAGCCACCATGCTCAGCCAGCAGAAAACATTATTTTAAAACTTATCCTGCCAGGCACTGTGCCTCATACTTGTAATCCCAGTACTTTGGGAGGCCACAGCAGGTGATCACTTGAGGTCAGGAGTTCAAAACCAGACAGGCCAACATGGTGACACCCCATCTCTACTAAAAATACAAATAATAGCCAAGCATGGTGGCGCACACTTATAGTCCAAGCTACCCAGGACGCTGAAGCTGGAATATCACTTGAACCTGGGAGGTTGAGGCTGCAGTAAGCCACGATCACACCACTGCACTCCGGTCTGAGTGACATGGTAAAACTACATCTCAAAAAATAATTATAAAATAAAACTTATTCTGAGGTTAAAAAAAAAGAAAAAGTAAATATATAATAAATACAAACTAAAGAATAAAATTGCTTTTTTATTCGATTTTTTTTAAAAGTAATTTTAAAAAACATATGACATGAGATCTACCCTCTTAACAAACTGTTAGATGTGCAGTATTGTTAACTATATACCCACTGCTGTATAGATCTCTGAAGTGTTTTGTCTTGTATACCCACTGCACAGCGAATCCCCATTTCCCCTTCCCTACTCTATACTTCCTTGAAAATATAAATCAATACTTCTATTAATACAAAAAGTGATCACAACAGAATTTTCTAGTGTGGAATAATTAATACAAATGGAACAGGAATGACTTCAATGAATCAAAGGAATTCAAGGAAGACTATTAAAATGTTGGAACTTTTTAGCTTATGTAGGAAGAGACTGACTCACAAATCAGTTGGGCTTGTCTCAGTACTGTGACAGCTCAGGCTGTTATAGATTAAGAGAAATTCTCAGGGAATAGGGATTGTTTTATTTTGATTTGTTTTTGTGGAGTAGAGGGTAATGTGTTTCCAAGGCCTAGAAAATAATCTGAAATTGATCTATCCCAACCCAAAGTCAATGTCACAGCACAGTAACCAAGGCTTCTGCAATGTTTATAATAAATTTTGTGGCCTTGCCAACTGACACGAAGCCAAGATTGAGAGAAGGGATCGATCACAAGACTCCAAAATCATCTGGTATTAAGTATCTTTCCATGTGAAGTACCTCTAATTACATTCATAAACCTTAAATTACAAAAAATCCAAAGGCCAAGAGCAGGAAGAGTGGGTAAAATGAAAACCCTTGCCTTGGTTACACAGCAGCCTGGACTACTTGTCCAGTGCGCTCTGGGTTCACATTTGAACACTATAAACACCATGATTCTTTCCACCATCCAATCATGAAATCTTGCTGGTTCTACTTTGTTCCATGCTCACTGTCAGCCCCACCTACCACCCTGACCAAACTATGATGGGTTCTCACGTACACCACCGCAGCAGCTCCACACTGGCCCCTGCAGCTGCTCAAGCCTGGTGCCCACCTATTCTTCACCCTCAAGCCAGGGTCCTCTTTCAAAAAAGAGGATTTTTTTTTTTTTTTTTTTGGGAGCCAAAGTCTCACTCTGTCATCCAGGCAGTAGTGTGATCTCAACTCACTGCGATCTCTGCCTCCCAGGTTCAAGTGATTCTCATGCCTCAGCCTCCCAAGTAGCTGGGACTACAGGTGCAAGCCAGCAAGCCCACGTAATTTTTGTATTTTTGGCAACAGGGTTTCACCATGCTGCCCAGGCTAGTCTCTAACTCTGGGCCTCAGGCAATCTACCCACTTCAGCCTCCCAAAGTGCTGGAATTACAGGCATGATACACCACATCCAGCCTAATATAAGGATCTTTGTATGTCACTTCCCTGCTTCAGAATCCCCAATGATTTCCATTTCCCTCCAAATAAAGTCTGAAATCCATAATATGGCCTACAAGCCCCACCTCTCCCTCCAAACTAAAAAATCTGGTCTCAGCTTACTTTTCCAATCCCCCCATCACACTCCACCTTGCCCCTCAAGTCCTTCTCCTCCAGCCATACTGGATTTATTTCCATTTCAGGAACACGTATATTCCCAGTGCCTGGCACACACTATAGCCTACTTTAATTAGTGCAGGAATTAATGAAGAAGTATGAAAAAACCTTTTCACTGGACCAAGGAGATGAAGGGAGCTGTGTGAAGAAACACAAGTCTAGGGAAGCAGATAGGGCACATGGGGGCATGGTCTCATGTCAACTCAAATTTTACATCTGGTAAAACGTCTGTTCCATGAGGCAAAAGCCATGGCTATCTTCTTCACTGTTACAACGTCAGCATCTAATCAATGTCTAGGATAGAAAAGGCACTCAAATATTTCTCAAAGGACTGACATTAAACAAAAAGAAAGTATTTAATAAAATATGAGCAGCTGAATGGTAAGTGCCACACAAGGCCAGTTTAAATCTTGCTTCGTTTAAAGTTGCAACAACTTAAATTTAGCCTGTGAGATCCCATTTCTATTCCAGCTCTGCTGTCATTATGGAATTTTTTTTTCTTTTTTTTTTTTTTTTTT